TGTCAACAACAACAGTCCTATTCAGGACTACGTTCACCCGGACGATCAAAGTCAACCTACTTTTGAAATGACTCCTGGGTTCAAACCTTTCACACACTAAATCTTCTTACTATTAAAAAAATGTCATTTTTTCATAAGTTTAATGCAAGCCAATAATTAAACCAACTCGTGACGGGAATCCCTTCTATTTTCTCATACTAAATTATCATATCTCGGTGAGCATTCGGAAGTCAGCCAAGCGCGGTCATTGCACGCGTGCTGAACAAGAATGCTGTATAATGACAGACTAGAAACAATAGACAACATGCTTCTTTGATTACCAGGTCTATCAAAGAGAGGCCTCGTGTTCCTTGGTTCAATGAGGAGATTAAGACGGCTAAACGTGAAAGAAGAAAGACTGAAAAGAGATGGAGAAGGACTAGGTTAGACTCTGGCCTGTCTGCCTTCAAGGTAAAGAGGAATGCAGCAACTGCTCTGATGAACAAGGCTCGTAGGGAATTTTACACTAATTTCATTGAGGAGAACAGCGGGGATCAAAAGAAGCTGTTTGCCGCCAGTAATCGCTTACTAAACAGAGGATCTGCCGACTGTCTACCTCCCACTATTGATAGGGCTCAATTCCCCGAGGAAATCGGGAAGTTTTTTGTACAGAAAATAGTGAATATTAGGAGTCGCCTCGATTGCCATGGTACTGTAAACTATCATAAACCCGACTTAGAGAGCATTGAGTCGTCTTTCGTCCACCTCACTGAATTTAAGATGTTAACGGAACAAGATGTGAAGTCCCTTATGCAGCATTCGTCTCTAAAATCTTGTGCTCTTGACCCTATGCCTTCAACTTTGGTCAGCCGATGTGATGTCCTACTTCCTGTACTTACAAGATTAATCAATATGTCCTTAAAGTCTGGTCAATTTCCTGTCGCCTGGAATGAAGCTTTAGTCTTACGGTTACTTAAAAAACCTGGCCTCGACGTTCTCTTCAAGAATTTTCGTCCCGTTAGTAACTTACCATTTGTTTCGAAGCTGACAGAGTCAGCCGTCTATAACCAAACTCATAGTGACATTTGCATGAACAATCTTTACCCTGCCAATCAGTCATCTTATGGGAGGAATTATAGCACAGAAACAGCGTTGCTGAGAGTGAGAAATGACATTTTGTTGAACATGAACAAACAGCATGTAACACTACTGGTTTTATTAGATCTTAGTGCGGCATTTGATACTGTGGATCACAATGTTTTACTCAGTCGGCTTCACTCAAAATTTGGTATATCTGGAACGGCACTTGAATGGTTCCGTTCCTACCTTAATGGAAGATCTCAGCGTGTTATTGTCCAAGGAAATCTATCTCGGAGTTTGAATTTGGACTTCGGAGTACCGAAGGGCTCTTACCTCGGGCCATTGCTTTTCACGATTTATGCAAGCAAATTGTTTGATGTCATCAAGGTGCACCTTCCCACGGTTCACTGCTACGCTGACGACACGCAGTTGTATGTGTCTTTCAGTCCAAACATAAGCACCGGGCAATTTGAGGCTGTCACTGCTATACACCACTGTGTGGATGATATACGTAATTGGATGACCAATGATAAACTATTTCTCAATGACGATAAAACAGAATTCCTAATGATTGGTACCAAGCAACAACTAGTCAAAGTTAATTTTGATCATATTTTAATTGGAGACTGTGTAATTAGACCAAAAGGGGTAGTTAAGAACTTAGGGAGATGGTTAGACTCGACTCTTTCAATGAATTCTCATGTAAATAACACTTGTTCCAATGCTTTTTATTACTTGTATAATATAAGAAGAATTAGGAAATATCTTTCTAGGCGGTCCACTGAGACGCTCATTCACGTACGTCTCAAGTCGTGTCGACTATTGTAACAGCTTGCTCTATGGCCTGCCAGCTTACCAGCTTAATAAGCTACAGAGGGTCCAAAATGCCGCCGCTAGGTTAATTTTCCTGGAATCTAAATACTGCCATGTAAGACTGTTGCTGTATAATCTGCACCGGCTGCCGGTTAAATTCCGAATTGACTCTACGATATTATTGTTAAAGTATAAGGCTATCAATGGCTTAGCGCCTTTTTATCTCCAGGAACTTATTAGTCTTAAAGAAGCATGTAAATACAAGTTACGCTCCGATTGTGATGGACTGCCTGTGAAATTCAAGACTTTAACAACGTTGGGAGATGGATCTTTTGCTGCTGCTGCTCCTCAACTATGGAATTCATTGCCCTATTCAATTAGGAGTAGCCGCTCAGTAGCATCTTTTAAAAAGACACTCAAGACATTTTTATTTCAGAAAGCTTTTTTGTGATTTCATGTGCTTTTTAATCTCGTTTTTGGTAGGTTTTATGCAGTTTTTTTACGAGTTAAGTAGTCTTATAGTTTTAGTGTTGACATAGTTGTTTTAATCTTTTTGGTAGGTTCATGCACTTTTTGCATGTATACTTTATGCACTTATCATTATTATTATTATTATTATTATTATTATTATTATTATTTTATTTTATTTTTATTTTTTTAATATTTTTATTTTTAAGCGCTGATGAAAGTAGCAATATTGATATCGGCGCTATATAAGTATTGTTATTATTATTATTGTTATTATTATTATTACTATTATTACAACTCCCAAAGCGCAAACTCATCCAAAACGCTAAAAATCTTCAATGTTTACTCAAGTTTGGGCTTATAGAAGATAATGTCACAGTTTTTCAATGACCATGAAATTCAGAGTCCGGGTAGTTAGTTAATCAATTGTGGCCCTGAAAAAATTTGAAAGAAAAAAACTACGAATTTTTAAGAAAATGCTTTTTTCGTGAGAAGGACTCTTAAACGCCGACAAACGTCAACAAATAGCGAAAACTATCATTTCTATATGTTTGCTTTGCTCGAAATCGCGCGCATTTACAAGGCGTTTTGCTGACTTGCAAGAATCCATGTGTTATAACGATGCCCAAAATAAAGGGATGAATCTCATAGTTTATTAGATATAATCGTGTAAAGTTTGCTTATCATTTTCGCATAAATTATGACCTAAATTTGGAAACCGCTGAATTTCTCGAATTGGGTCTTTGCGATTTTGGTGAAACTCTGTTCAGCGCAAGACACTAACGCGCATTATGTGTAGCCGAGAGATTTTCACGAAAAAATAACGGCAACAGCAGATTTTCGACTAAGACCTCAAAGGGGCGTGGCATTATAACCACGTGACATTTACTCCGATCGCTATCCATTTACTCCGATCGTTATCCATTCTATGTGTTAGACTTACGATAAAAGTAAAGGTGAGGATACCAGAGAGCTTCAAAGTAGGATGGTACACCTGCAAAAAAACTGGGTCTAGTCACCTTAAGTTAACTGATTTGTCGATTACAAGTTTATTGTATGATTTGAATTATAAATTTATTAATTGGAGCTTCGCTTTTAGCCCTGACTAAATCTATATATCATTTTGGAAAACAATAAGACCGCGAACAGACCGCGAGGTCGCACGTACCTTCCCCAAGCATGATAGGATGTGCTGCGCGTTTCTTAAGATTCCCTGCAAATTTTCCAGCCTAAAGCCATTTTTTTAAATTAAAACCTGAGTCCCCAGACTACACAGTCTATTATTTATTTCTTTATCTGATAGCTTTTTTTGCCCGTCTTTTAAAAGTATTATAACCTCGATCTTCAAGTTAAATACCTAAACAAAACACTCAGATTTGCTGGATAGGTCACTACCAAGACTTTCTAAAAACTCAGGTCCATGTCGCATAAGGTGATAAAATGTTTCCTCCGCGGAAAAAAAAATGCTAATAGCAATATTTCATTTGGTACATCATAAGAAGCTATGTAAACAAGCATTATGATGCGAACTGTGAGGGATCTCCTTGAGAATCTATTCAGCTGTTTTTCACCGGCCGAACACGGTGCATTTTCCTCTGAAACGTCTACATTTCTCTTGGCCGGAGCTGGTGGTACTCGAGTTGGCGATTGAAGTTAAGTAGATCTCTTTGCTTCCACTCTTACGGCTTTATCTCGAATTCAAATATTTTTTTACAAAAGCGACATAATAAGACGACGTGCTGAAGTGTTGAAATTTCAATGACATGTTAATTCCTGGAGGGCGCATCGGCGGCATCAAAGGCATGTCTCCAGGCTCCGCCACCCTTTTCCCTCCCCAGACTACCTCTCGGCTAGCTTCGCTCGCCGATTTTTTTCCGCCCACGCCCATTTCTTTTTCTTTTACCCCCAATGCGGATCCTAGTCCCAGGCTACAAGCTATATATCTCTAAATACAAATTCATACACGCTTACGAATGTACCTTTGCACTTGGGGATATCAGTATTCCATGTTCCCTCTTCACAAGTCACTTTAGCCTCGCCTTCAAGTGTGAACCCAGCGTTACAAGAGTATCGAACTGTCTGTCCGTGTTTGTAGTTATTACCGATTTTAAGGCCGTGACTTATATCACCAGGGGATCGACAGCTAGCTTTAATTTGAACAGAAAGAAAAATCTTAATAACAGAAAAAATAGCCAGGGTAAACGAATGATTTGTTCTTTAAGAACAAATTTCATAGTAAATTAATTGGCTACGTTAACGTGCGTTTCTCTTAGTCTTATTCAGCACATTAAGTTAGATTCTTCGAACAACTAGTATTAATACGTATTTGTGAGAAAGCTACAATTTTCTGGCGCTAATTTTCATCAATTATGTTTCTACGACCACTTACTCTCACTGTCATTTATACTTTAAGGCAAAAACTAATGAGAGTAAATGTCTTTTTTTTTTCTTCTTTTTTTTTTAACTAGTAAGGGTAAATGTCTTTAGTTTTCTCTTACGCACGTCACGTACCTACGCAGCGTCGAACAGAGGAACTCCAACTCCTGTTAGCTTGACAATAGGGAGCTTAAGCAACAGCGTTTTTGAGCGACGGACGTCAACCGGAAGTGGACTTTTTGCAGCGTTGGGCTGTGGTTTGGTTGAAACCCTCAGGTAAATCGTCTTTATGGGAGAAAAGAAACTCAGCAATACAAATTTGGTAGTGTCCAGGCGTATAAAAAGGGAAAAGGCCTCACTTCCGGTTGACGTGCGTCGCTCAAAAACCTCTTTGCTTAAGCTCGCTAATATATAACATCAGTCCCCACTAGAGTGTAATTCTTGTCACAAACAAACTTGACTGATCCACCATAGACGTAGCCCTTCCTGACAATCTGCTTTCCGTTAGTTGGTTTGCCAGGATTACCACACTCAACAGCTATCGCAATAATTACAGGGTGGTTAATTTTTTAGCCTTTTTCGTTTACATATAATAAACCATTACAAGAAATGAAGATTGCAGGGTATCAAGTAAAGCTTAAGCCTGCAACTTGAGTAGACGCTCACGAGTTAATTCTTCTTTTACCAGTTCACAGTTGCGAGCTGTATAATTCATTTTGCAGCCATTACTAAAATTTGCCACGTCATTTGAAAAGTTGCAAATAAAATAACCTTAACTTCGAAAATCAACGAAAGCTTTTATTTTGGAAATGGAAAACAAGAATGAACGCTTACCTCTACACTTGGGAGTGGCAGTGTTCCATCTTCCATCTACACAAGTCAGTTCAGCCTTGCCTTCAAGTGTGTACCCAAGGTTACAAGAGTATCGAACTGTTTTTCCGTGCGTGTAGTTATTACCAATTTTAAGACCATGATGTAAATCACCAGGTGAGCGACAGTTAGCTTAATCAAAAACGAAAAAATTCAAGCTTAGCAACAGAAAAAAAGGAAGGGAATAAAATAAATTGCCCGTAATGTCTTTAGTTGATAAGAAACTAATTAACTGAATTCTTTCGATTTTGCCTTTACCTGATTCAGGGGCGTTGAAGGACCCAAATAATATTTTCAAACTATTTCAAACTACGTGTATGGCAACAAATTTAGCAATTTTTTCTTAAAACGATCAAATAACATTTAAAAATTATCGCGACCTGTGCGTCAATTTTGACGTTACCATGGTAACTGAGGTTTTAACAGCGTTATTTTACAATATTTGCCTTTTTTACTGTACAAAATAATTGGATCAATATAATTCAAGGTATGTTTATTGAATATACTATCCTAATAAATTTAGAATTATTTTATATATTTATTATAACTGTTAATTTAATCCAGGATTTTTGATGACTAATTTCGCCATTTGCACATCTGTCATAATGCACCTTGTTTGCCCTCAAAAATTTGCGTAAGCATTGTCTTCGTTTCCTGGAAAGACTGCAATACCCAGGAGAGATCACAAACAAAGGTTACGGAAAACTTTAGGGGGCAAACGAGGTGTCTTATGGCACATGTGCAAATCGCCAATTCAAAAACTTGAATATAAAATGGCTTAATGGTAGAAGTTGGATTCAAATTTCAACAGTGTTCAACACAGTTAATTACTAGCATTTGTTTCTTCTTTTTCTTTCCTTTTAATTTTACAGTATACATCGGTATTTTTACTTTCATTTTATTTTATCTTTTGCTTTTTAAACATACTTTAATGCACAAGTGGTATTTAATATCACGGTTTCCTCGATTCACACGGGTTATTAATTGAGCTGGTGCACTATATATCAAGTGAATATATCAAGGTTACAAGAGTATCAAACTGTTTTTCCGTGCGTGAAGTTATTAACGATTTTAAGACCATGATGTAAATCACCAGGTGAGCGACAGTTAGCTTAATCAAAAACGAAAAAAATCAAGCTTAGCAACAGAAAAAAAGGAAGGGAATAAAATAAATTGCCCGTAATGTCTTTAGTTGATAAGAAACTAATTAACTGAATTCTTTCGATTTTGCCTTTACCTGATTCAGGGGCGTTGAAGGACCCAAATAATATTTTCAAACTATTTCAAACTACGTGTATGGCAACAAATTTAGCAATTTTTTCTTAAAACGATCAAATAACATTTAAAAATTATCGCGACCTGTGCGTCAATTTTGACGTTACCATGGTAACTGAGGTTTTAACAGCGTTATTTTACAATATTTGCCTTTTTTACTGTAAAAAATAATTGGATCAATATAATTCAAGGTATGTTTATTGAATATACTATCCTAATAAATTTAGAATTATTTTATATATTTATTATAAATGTTAATTTAATCCAGGATTTTTGATGACTAATTTCGCCATTTGCACATCTGTCATAATGCACCTTGTTTGCCCTCAAAAATTTGCGTAAGCATTGTCTTCGTTTCCTGGAAAGACTGCAATACCCAGGAGAGATCACAAACAAAGGTTACGGAAAACTTTAGGGGGCAAACGAGGTGTCTTATGGCAGATGTGCAAATCGCCAATTCAAAAACTTGAATATAAAATGGCTTAATGGTAGAAGTTGGATTCAAATTTCAACAGTGTTCAACACAGTTAATTACTAGCATTTGTTTCTTCTTTTTCTTTCCTTTTAATTTTACAGTATACATCGGTATTTTTACTTTCATTTTATTTTATCTTTTGCTTTTTAAACATACTTTAATGCACAAGTGGTATTTAATATCACGGTTTCCTCGATTCACACGGGTTATTAATTGAGCTGGTGCACTATATATCAAGTGAATATATCAAGGTTACAAGAGTATCAAACTGTTTTTCCGTGCGTGAAGTTATTAACGATTTTAAGACCATGATGTAAATCACCAGGTGAGCGACAGTTAGCTTAATCAAAAACGAAAAAAATCAAGCTTAGTAATGGAAAAAAGGAAGGGAATAAAATAAATCGCTCTTTATGTCTTTACTTCTTAAGAAACTAATTGACAGAATTCTTTCGATTTTGCTTTTACCTGATTCAGCGGCGTTGAAGGACCCAAATATCTTCAAAATAATTCAAACTACGCGTATAACAACAAATTTAATAAGTGTTTCTTAAAATGATCAAATAACATTTTAAAATTATCGCGACCTGTACGTCAATTTTGACGTTACCATGGTAACCGAGGTTTTAACAGCCTTATTTTACAATATTTGCCTTTTTTACTATATAAAATAATTGGATCAATTTATTTCAAGGTTTATTTATTGAATATTGTATCTTAATAAATTTAGAATTATTTTATATATTCATTATAACTTCTAATTTAATCCAGGCTTTTTGATGACTAAATTCGCCATTTGCACATCTGCCATAATCCACCTTGTTTGCCCTCAAAAATTTGCATAAGCATTGTCTTCCTTTGCTGGAAAAACTGCAATACCCAGAAGAAATCACGCACAAAGGTTATGGAAAACTTTAGGGGGCAAACGAGGTGTCTTATGGCAGATGTGCAAATCGCCAATTCAAACACTTGAAAATAAAATGGCTTAATGGTAGAAGTTGGACTCAAATTTTAACAGTGTTCAACACAGTTAATTACTAGCAGTTTTTTCATTATTATTTAATTTGAATTTTACACTTCGGTATTTTTACTTTTGTTTTATTCAATTTTTTGCTTTTTAAACATACTTTAATATACAGGTTGTATTAAATATCACGGTTTCCTCGATTTACACCGGTTTTTAATTGAGCTGGGGGACTATATATCAAGTGAATAGCAATCTAGAGTTAAGCCACAAAGAAGACAACAAGCATTCCTAACCCGTAAACAATAACAAAATTAACTCCTTACAATAGAACGACACAATAGTGCATACATATCGAGCATCACCCGCTTTTAAACAAAATTAATTCAAAATGGCAGATTTAATATGGCGTTGTTCCAGTACGTTCTCTAATAATAAACAAAGTCTTCATGACGCCACTGCCATTGTTAAAGATTATCCGTGTGTTAGCCAACTTCATAAGTTTTTTAAACGTTTCACTATTTTAGCATTTTCGCCTTCATTGCTCTTCCTAGGCAAAAAAAATGATAAAATCTGGATTCTGCTTATAACTCATAATTAACAAATGTTACGTCAAAAGTACGTCAAATCGCCTTAGTTCTCCCTATTATGTTGAAATTGATTAGTACTTTATTAGATGTAATTTTGGTAGATGTGTTATGATCTGTTTTAAGTTATGGAGGGTAGCCTCCCACGTTTCTCTATCGTTGGAAGCCAGAAAAGGAAAAAACAACCATGGTCATGACGATAAGTTTTGTCGTGTTTTGTCGAACTTTTGCCATTTAAAAGCTACAATATTTCTACTGCTAATTTATATATAGATCAGTTTTAACGACCACGAAATGTAGCTGTGTTTTATGCCTTTAAAAAATTGTTTGAAAAAAAATAGTTCGCGGGTCTAATGTCTTTTATTTTCTCTTACCCATGGCACTTACCTAAGCAACGTGGAACAGAGGAACTCCAGCTCCTATTAGCTTGACAATATATAATATCAGCCCCCACTAGAGTATAATTCTTGTCACATACAAACTTGACTGATCCACCATAGACGAAGCCGTTCTTGACAATCTGCTTTCCGTTTGCTGGTTTACCAGGATCACCACACTCAACAGCTATACAAATATAAACAGCCTTTGTCGTTTACATATAACGAACTAATACAACAAATGAAGATAGCAGGGTATTAAGAAACTGCAACTTGAATAGATCACGCACAAGAGCTAATTCTTCTTTAAACGGTTCAAAGTTGCAGGGTATATATGTAATTCACTTTGCAACCATTAGCGAAATCTGTCACGCAATTTAAAAAGTTGCAAATAAAACAACCCGCCTTACCGCCAAAATCAACACAAGCTTTTTTTAAAAAAACAACAATGAACGCTAACCTTTACACTTGGGAGTGGCAGTGTTCCATTTTCCATCTACACAAGACAGTTCAGCTTCGCCTTCAAGTGTGTACCCAAGGTTACAAGAGTATCGAACTGTTTTTCCGTGTGTATAGTTATTACCGATTTTAAGACCATGATTTAAAACACCAGGTGAGCGACAGTTGGCTTAATCAAAAAGAAAAAACCAGGCTTAGCTACAAAAAAAAGTAAGGGAACAAAACAAATTGCTAGTTATTTCTTTAGTTCTTTATAGAGACTAACTCACTTAGTTTTGATTTGGACTTTATTTTATTGAGACCAAGTAATATCTTTGAATGTCTTCAAAATCGTTCAAACTATAAAATCCAACTTTACAAATAGTCCTACAGAATAATCTAAGAACATTTTAAAAACATGGCGACCTGTACGTCATCTTTAACGTTACCATGGCAACCCAAGTTTAACAGCCTTGTTTTACGAAATTCGTCTTTTTCTATAAACAAAAACCGATTTATTTCGAGGTTTTCTTGCTGAAATATTGTATCAACTCAATTTAGAATTATTTAAATATTTGTCATGACTGTTAATTCAGTCAAGGTCTATTGGTGACCAAATTTACACTTCTCCCATAATGCACCTTATTTGCCCCCAAAATATTGCATAAGCATCGTCTTCAGTCTCTCCTGGGAAAACTGCAATACCCAGGAGAAATTGAAAAGAAGTTTATGCAAAACTTTGGGGGCAAACAAGGTGTATTATGGGAGATGTGCAAATGGCCAATAGACCTTTTTACCGATACGGCGGCCATACCGAATTAATTACTTTTAAAGAGTATTATGGGATGCCCAGGGGGCATGAGCTTGATCCGATATACTCGTTCGGTATTTACGCTCGCTTTTCGGTTCTAAACAGCAAAAGAAAAAAGAAGCAATTAAAATTGTGGACACTCCGAAGAAACTAGAATGGTCTTTCACTATATTTTTTCTCACGTAAAAGGCGATCATTATTACATCCAAACACGGTACAAAGTTCTTTTTTCCCATTAAAATCTTATTCTTGGAAAACTTTAAGAACAATTGCCCGGAAAGCTCGCCTAGATACTCAGTGAGTGTATCGGATAGTGCTCATGCCCCCTCGGCATCCCATAACACTCCTTAACTCTAATAAATTCAATACGGCCGCCGAATCGGTAAAAAAAAAACTGAATATAAAATGACTTAATGGGAGATGTTGGATTCAAATTTTAACAGTGTTCAACAGTATTAATTATCAGCATTTTTTTTTTTACTTTTACATTTACATGCCCTGTCTTAGGAAGCCAGAACAGGGAAAACCATGGTCAAATTAGGGTTAAACGTTTGTTTATTCCGTGTGACGATAAGTTAACTTTTTCACACAACGCGTCGAACCTTTCTCGTCTTTTGTTACGAACTTTTCTTGTTTAAAACCTACAATATTGCTACTGATAATTTATGTATAGATCATTTTTTAACGACCAAAAATTGAACTGTCGTTTTTTACTCTTAAGAACTCTTTCAAAAAATTAGTTAGCCGGACTAATGTCTTTTATTTTCTCTTACCCATGGCACGTACCTAAGCAACGTGGAACAAAGGAACTCCAACTCCTATTAGCTTGACAATGTATAACATCAGTCCCCACGAGTGTGTAATTCTTGTCACAGACAAACTTGACTGATCCACCATAGACGTAGCCTTTCTTGACAATCTGCCTTCCATTGGTGGGTTTGCCAGGATCACCACACTCAACAGCTATAATAGTTGCAAGGGATCTAAATTTTTAATCTTTGACCTTTACACTTAAACAAGTATGGGAAATGAAGTTCACCGCATTCTAGCTAAAACTTTGAGTACAACTCGAGTAGATGCACTCGAGTTAATTCTTCATTTGACGGTTAAAACTTATTTAAGCTTATTTATTTTGCAGCAATTTCAAAAATTTGTTACATAATATTAAAATCTGCAAAAAAAAAAAAACAACAACAACAACAACATTAAGCTGCAAAATCAATACAACCTTCTATTTTGGAAAACAAGAAGACCGCGAACTAGCTCGCGTGGTCGCACGTACCTTCCCCATGTATGAAAGGATGTGTTGAGCGTTTCCTAAAAGTCCCTGCAAATTCTCCAGCCTAAAGCCATTTTCTTGAATCAAAACCTGAGTCTCAAAACTAACCAGTCTATTATTTGTTTCTTTAACTGATAGCTTTCTTTGTACCTCTTTTAAAAGTATTATAACCTCGATCTTCAAGTTAAATACCTAAACAAAACACTCAGATTTCCTAGATAGGTCACTACCGAGACTTTTCAAAAACTCAGGTCCCCGTCGCATAAGGTGAGTAAATTTACACATTTTTCCTCTGCGGAAAAAAGAAATCCACCAATAGCAATATTTCATTTGGTACATCATAAGAAGCTATGTAAACGAACATTATGATGCGAACTGTGAGGGATCTCCTTGAGAATCTATTCGGCTGTTCTTCACCGGCCGAACGCGGTGCATTTTCCTCTGAAACGTCTTTATTTCTCTTGGCCGGAGCTGGTGGTACTCGAGTTGGCGATTGAAGTTAAGTAGATCTCTTTGCTTACACTCTTACGGCTTCATCTCGAATTCACATATTTTTTTTACAAAAGCGACATAATAAGACGACGTGCTGAAGTGTTGAAATTTCAATGACATGTTAATTGCTGGAGGGCGAATCGGCGTCATCAAAGGCCTGTCTCCAGGCTCCGCCACCCTTTTCCCTTTCCAGGCTACCTCTCGGCTCGCTTCGCCCGCCGATTTTTTTTTTCGCCCACGCCGATTTTTATTTCTTTTTCCCCCAATGCGGATCCTAGTCACAGGCAACCAGGTATATTTCTCTAAATACAAATTCATGCAAGCTTAAGAATGTACCTTTGCACGTGGGGGTATCAGTATTCCATGTTCCCTCTTCACAAGTCACTTCAGCCTCGCCTTCAAGTGTAAACCCAGCGTTACAAGAGTATCGAACTGTCTTTCCGTGCTTGTAGTTATTACCAATTTTAAGGCCGTGACTTATATCACCAGGGGATCGACAGTTAGCTTGAATTTGAACAGAAAGAAAACTCTTAATAACAGAAAAACTAGGGTAAACGAATGATTTGTTCTTTGACACCAAATTTCATATATATAGTAAATTCATTGGTTTCGTTAACTTGCGTTTCTCTTAGTATTATTTAGCACACTAAGTTAAATTGTTCGAACAACTAGTATTAATACGTATTTCTAAAAAGCTACAATTTTCTACCGCTAATTTTCATAAATTACATTTCTACGACCATCTAATGTTACTGCTATTTATACTTTAAGGCAAAAACTAATGAGGGTAAATGTCTTTAATTTTCTCTTACGCATGGCACGTACCTACGCAGCGTGGAAGAGAGGAACTCCAACTCCTATTAGCTTGACAATATATGACATTGGTCCCCACTAGAGTGTAATTCTTGTCACAAACAAACTTGACTGATCCACCATAGACGTAGCCCTTCCTGACAATCTGCTTTCCGTTTGTTGGTTTGCCAGGATTACCACACTCAACAGCTATCGCAATAATTACAGGGTGGTTAATTTTGTAGCCTTTGTCGTTTACATATAATAAACCAATTCAAGAAATGAAGATTGCAGGGTATCAAGTAAAGCTTTAGCCTGCAACTTGAATAGACGCTCACGAGTTAATTCTTCTTTTACCAGTTCAAAGTTGCGGGCTATATAATTCATTTTCCAATCATTCCCAGAATTCTCCACGTCATTTGAAAAGTTGCAAATAAAATAACGTTAACTTCCAAAATCAACGAAAGCTTTTATTTTGGAAATGGAAAACAAGAATGAACGCTTACCTTTACACTTGGGAGTGGCAGTGTTCCATCTTCCATCTACACAAGTCAGCTCAGCCTCGCCTTCAAGTGTGTACCCAAGGTTACAAGAGTATCGAACTGTTTTTCCGTGCGTGTAGTTATTACCGACTTTAAGACCATGATGTAAATCACCAGGTGAGCGACAGTTAGCTTAATCAAAAACGAAAAAAAGGAAGGGAATGAAATAAATTGCCCGTTATGTCTTTAGTTGATAAGAAACTAATTTAAAGGACCCAAATATCTTTAAAATAATTCAAACTACGTGTATGACAACAAATTTAGGAAATTTTTCTTAAAATGATCAAATAACATTTTAAAATTATCGCGACCTGTACGTCAATTTTGACGTTACCATGGTAACCGAGGTTTTAACAGCCTTATTTTACAATACTTGCTTTTTTTACTATATAAAATGATTGGATCAATTCATTTCAAAGTTTACTTATTGAATATTGTATCCCAATAAATGTACAATTATTTTGTACATTTAGTATAACTGTTAATTTAATCCAGGCTTTTTGATGACTAAATTCGCCATTTGCACATCTGCCATAATGCACCTTGTTTGCCCACATTGTCTTCGTTTCCTGGAAAACTGCAATACCCTGGAGAAATCACACACGAAGGTTATGGAAATCTTTAGGGGGCAAACGAGGTGTCTTATGGTAGATGTGCAAAAAATGGCCAATTCAAAGACTTGAATATAAAATGACTTAATGGTAGAAGTTGGATTTAAATTTTAACAGTGTTCAACACAGTTAATTACTAGCAGTTTTTTATTATTATTTACTTTAAATTTTACATTTACATCGGTATTTTTACTTTTATTTTATTTTATCTTTTACTATTTAAGCATACTTTGATACACAGGTCGAATTTAATATCACGGTTTTCTCTATTTACACGGGTTTTTAATTGAGCTGGTGCACTATATATCAAGTCAATAGCAATCTAGAGTTACGTCACAAAGAACACAACAATGATCCCTAGCTTGTAAACAATAACACAATAAACACCACACAATAGAACGACACAATAGCGTATATATTGACTTGGTATATCGAGCATCACCCGCTTTTGAACAAAGTTAATTCAAAATGGCAGATTTAATATGGCGTTGTTCCAGCACGTTCTCTAATAATAAACAAAGTCATCATGACGCCACTGCTATTGTTAAAGATTATCCGTGTGTTAGCCAGCTTCATAAGTTTTTTAAACATTTTACTATTTTAGCATTTTCCGCTTCATGGATATTCCTTGGCAAAGGAATATGCTTATAACTCATAATTAACAATGTTACGTCAAAAGTACGTCAAATCGCCTTAGTTCCCCTATTATGTTGAAATTGATTAGTACTTTATTAGATGTAATTTTGGAAGATGTGTTATGATCTGTTTTAAGTTATAGAGGGGAGCCTCCCACGTTTCTCTGTCGTAGGAAGCCAAAAAAGGAAAAAACAACCATGGTCATGACGATAAGTTTTGTCGTGTTTTGTCGAACTTTTGCCGTTTAAAAGCTACAATATTTCTACTGCTAATTCACATATAGATCATTTTTTAACGACCACGAAATGTAACTGTGTTTGATGCCTTTAAAAAACTGTTTGACAAAAAATAGTTAGCGGGACTAATGTCTTTTATTTTCTCTTACCCATGGCACTTACCTAAGCAACGTGGAACAGAGGAACTCCAACTCCTGTTAGCTTGACAATATATAACATCAGTCCCCACTAGAGTGTAATTCTTGTCACAAACAAACTTGACTGATCCACCATAGACGTAGCCTTTCTTGACAATCTGCTTTCCGTTTGCTGGTTTGCCAGGATCACCACACTCAACAGCTATACAAATATAAACAGGGTGGTTAATTTTTTAGCCTTTGTCGTTTATATATAATGAACTAATACAACAAATGAAGATAGCAGGGTATTAAGTAACTGCAACTTGAATAGACGCACAAGAGCTAATTCTTCTTTAAACGGTTCAAAGTTGCCGGGTATGTAATTCACTTTGCAACCATTACAGAAAGCTGGCACGCAATTTCAAAAGTTGCAAATAAAACAACCCGCTTTACCTCCAAAATCAACACAAGCTTTTATTTTGGCAATGGAAAACAAGAATGAACGCTAACCTTTACACTTGGGAGTGGCAGTGTTCCATCTTCCATCTACACAAGAAAGTTCAGCTTCGCCTTCAACTGTGTACCCGAGGTTACAAGAGAATCGAACTGTTTTTCCGTGTGTATAGTTATTACCGATTTTAAGACCATGATTTAAAACACCAGGTGAGCGACAGTTAGCTTAATCAGAAAGAAAAAAAATCAAGCTTAGCTACAGAAAAAAGTAAGGGAACAAAACAAATTGCTCCTTATTTCTTTAGTTCTTTAAAATACATAAACTAACTCACTGAGTTATATTGATTTGGATTTTATTTTATTGAGACCAAGTAATATCTTTGAATATCTTCAAAATCGTTCAAACTATAGAATCAAACTTAGCAAATAGTCCTAAAAAATAATCTAAGAACATTTTACAAACATGGCGACCTGGGCTGAGTTGCTCAAAGGATGGTTAGCTTTAACCATTGGTTAAGCAGTATCAAAACCAATACGTTGTCAAGGTATTAAACGCTGGTTAACGCTAACCATGCTTCGAGCAACTGGGCCCTGTACGTCAACTTTAACGTTGCCATGGCAACCCAAGTTTAACAGCCTTGTTTTACGAAATTAGTCTTTTTCTATAAAAAAAAACGGTTTATTTCTTGCTGAAATATTCTATCACACTCAATTTAGAATTATTTAAATGTTTGTTACAACTGTTAATTCAGTCAAGGTCTACTGGTGACCAAATTTGCACTTCTCCCATAATGCACCTTGTTTGCCCCAATAATATTGCAAAATCATCGTCTTCAGTCTCTCCTGGGAAAACTGCAATACCCAGGAGAAATTGAAAAGAAGTTTATGCAAAACTTTGGGGGCAAACGAGGTGTATTAAGGGAGATGTGCAAATGGCCAATAGACCTTTTCACCGATACGGCGGCCATATTGAATTAATTAGTTTTAAAGAGTATTATGGGATGCCCAGGGGGCATGAGCTTGACCCGACATACTCGTTCGGTATTTACGCTCGCTTTTCGGTTCTAAACAGCAAAAGAAAAAAGAAGCAATTAAAATTGTGGACACTCCAAAGAAACTGGTATGGTCTTTTACTGTACTTTTTCTCACGTACAAGGCGATCATTATTACATCCAAACACGGTACAAAGTTCTTTTTTCCCATTAAAATCTTATTCTTGGAAAACTTTAAGAACAATTGCCCCGAAAAGCTCGCTTAGATACTCAGAGAGTGTATCGGATGGTGCTCATCCCCCTCGGCATCCCATAACACTCCTTCAATCTAATTAATTCAATATGGCCGCCGTATCGGTAAAAAAAAACTGAATATAAAATGACTTAATGGGAGATCTTCGATTCAAATTTTAACAGTGTTCAACAGTATTAATTATCAGCAGTTTTTTTTTACTTTTACATTTACATCCCCTGTCTTAGGAAGCCAGAAAAGGGAAAAAGCATGGTCAGATTAGGGTTAAACTTTTGTTTATTCCGCGTGTGACGATAAGTTAACTTTTTCATACAACACGACGAACCTTTCTCGTCTTTTGTTACGAACTTTTCTTGTTTAAAAGCTACAATATTGCTACTGATAATTTATGTATAGATCATTTTTTAACGACCAAAAATTGAACTGTCGTTTTTTACTATTAAGAACTCTTTCAAAAAATTAGTTAGCCGGACTAATGTCTTTTATTTTCTCTTACCCATGGCACTTACCAAAGCAAAGTGGAACAACGGAACTCCAACTCCTATTAGCTTGACAATATATAACATCAGTCCCCACTAGAGTGTAATTCTTGTCACAAACAAACTTGACTGATCCACCATAGACGTAGCCTTTCTTGACAATCTGCTTTCCATTGGTGGGTTGGCCAGGATCATCACACTCAACAGCTATAATAATTGGGAACTAAATGTTTAATCTTTGTCCTTTACTAATAAACAAGTATGGGAAATGAAGGTCACAGGATACTAGGTAAAACCTTGAGTACAACTCGAGTAGATGCACTCGAGTTTATTCTTCGTTTGACGGTTAAAATTTTGGGGCTTATTTATTTTGCAGCCACTCAAAAAATTCGTTACATAATATTAAAATTCGCAAAAAAACAACTAAACAACAACATTAAGGTGCAAAATCAATAGAACCTTCTATTTTGGAAAACAAGAAGACCGCGAACAGCTCGCGTGGTCGCACGTACCTTCCGCATGTATGATAGGATGTGTTGCACGTTTCTTAAAAGTACCTGCAAACTTTCCAGCCTAAAGCCATTTTCTTGAATTAAAACCTGAGTCTCAAAACTAACCAGTCTATCATTTGTTTCTTTATCTGATAGCTTTCTTTGCACCTCTTTTAAAACTGTTATAACCTCCATCCTCAAGTTAAATACCTAAACAAAACACTCAGATTTCCTGGATAGGTCACTACCGAGACTTTTCAAAAACTCAGGTCCCCGTCGCATAAGGTGAGTAAACTTACACATTTCTCATATGCAGAAAAAATAATTCTACCAACCGCAATATTTCATTTGGCACATTGTAAGAAGCTACGTAAACGAGCATTATGATGCAAACTGTGAGGGATGTCCTTGAGAATCTATTCGGCTGTTCTTCACCGGCCGAACACGGTGCATTTTCCTCTGAAACGTCTTTATTTCTCTTGGCCGGAGCTGGTGGTACTCTAGTTGGCGATTGAAGTTAAGTAGATCTCTTTGCTTGCACTCTTACGGCTTCATCTCGAATTCAAATATTTTTTACAAAAGCAACATAATAAGCTGACGTGCTGAAGTGTTGAAATTTCAATGACAAGTTAATTGCTGGAGGGCGGATCGGCGGCATCAAAGGCATGTCTTCAGTCCGCCACCCTTTTCCCTCCCTAGACTACCTCTGGGCTCGCTTCGCTCGCCGATTCTTTTAATCGCCCACGCCGATTTTTTTCCTTTTTCCCCCAATGCGGATCCTTGTCCCTGGCTACAAGCTATATATCTCTAAATACACCCGCATTCATGCACGCTTACGAATGTACCTTTGCACTTGGGGGTATCAGCATTCCATGTTCCCTCTTCACAAGTCACTTCAGCCTCGCCTTCAAGTGTGAACCCAGCGTTACAAGAGTATCGAACTGTCTTTCCGTGCTGGTAGTTATCACCAATTTTAAGGCCGTGATTTATATCACCAGGGGATCGACAGTTAGCTTTAATTTAAACAGAAAGAAAAATCTTAATAACAGAAAAACAAGGGCAAACGAATGTTTTTTTTCTCTAAGACCAAATTTCGTAGTAAATTATTTGGTTTCAGCACACTAAGTTAAATTGTTCGAACAACTAGTATTAATACGTATATGTAAAAGACTTTAATTTTTTACTCCTAAAATTTTCATACATTATGTTTCTATGACCATTTAATCATACAGTTATTCATACTTTAAGGCAAAAACTAATGAGGGTAAATGTCTTTAATTTTCTCTTACGCATGTCACGTACCTACGCAGCGTGGACGAGAGGAACTCCAACTCCTATTAGCTTGACAATATATAACATCAGTCCCCACTAGAGTGTAATTCTTGTCACAAAAAAACTTGACTGATCCACCATAGACGTAGCCCTTCCTGACAATCTGCTTTCCGTTTGTTGGTTTGCCAGGATTACTACACTCAACAGCTATCGTAATATTTATAGGGTGGTTAATGTTTTAGCCTTTGTCGTTTACATATAATGAACTAATACAAGAAATGAAGATAGCAGGGTATTAAGTAACTGCAACTTGAATAGACGCACGCCAGCTAATTCTTCTTTAAACGGTTCAAAGTTGCGGGGTATGTAATTCATTTGTACCGAAATCTCTCACGCAATTTAAAAGGTTGCAAATAAAACAACCCGCTTTTCCTCTAAAATCAACACAAGCTTTTATCTTAAAAAACAAGAATGAACGCTAACCTTTACACTTGGGAGAGGCAGTGTTCCATTTTCCATCTACACAAGTCAGTTCAGCCTCGCCTTCAAGTGTGTACCCAAGGTTACAAGAGTATCGAACTGTTTTTCCGTGCGTGTAGTTATTACCGATTTTAAGGCCGTGATTTATATCACCAGGGGATCCACAGTTAGCTTTAATTTGAACAGAAAGAAAACTCTTAATAACAGAAAAACTAGCCAGGGTAAACGAATGATTTGTTCTTTAAGACCAAATTTCATAGTAAATTAATCGTTAACTTGCGTTTCTCTTAGTTTTGTTCAGCACACTAAGTTAAATTGTTCGAACAACTAGTATTAATACGTATTTGTAAAAAGCTACAATTTTCTACCGCTAATTTTCATATATTACGTTTCTACGACCACTTAGTCTTACTGTTATTTATACTTTAAGGCACAAACTAATGAGAGTAAATGTCTTTAATTTTCTCTTAGGCATGGCACTTACCTAAGCAACGTGGAACAGAGGAACTCCAACTCCTATTAGCTTGACAATATATAACATCAGCCCCCATTAGAGTGTAATTCTTGTCACAAAAAAACTTGACTGATCCACCATAGACGTAGCCCTTCCTGAAAATCTGTTTTCCGTTTGTTGGTTTGCCAGGGTTACCACACTTAACAGCTATCGTAATAATTACAGGGTGGTTAATGTTTTAGCCTTTGTCGTTTACATATAATGAACTAATACAAGAAATGAAGATAGCAAGGTATTAAGTAACTGCAACTTGAATAGACGCACGCCAGCTAATTCTTCTTTAAACGGTTCAAAGTTGCGGGGTATGTAATTCATTTGTACCGAAATCTCTCACGCAATTTAAAAGGTTGCAAATAAAACAACCCGCTTTTCCTCTAAAAACAACACAAGCTTTTATCTTAAAAACCAAGAATGAACGCTAACCTTTACACTTGGGAGTGGCAGTGTTCCACCTTCCATCTACACAAGTCAGTTCAGCCTCGCCTTCAATTGTGTACCCAAGTTTACAAGAGTATCGAACTGTTTTTCCGTGCGTGTAGTTATTACCGATTTTAAGACCATGATGTAAATCACCAGGTGAGCGACAGTTAGCTTAATCAAAAACGAAAAAAATCAAGCTTAGCAACAGAAAAAAAGGAAGGGAATAAAATAAATTGCCCGTTATGTCTTTAGTTGATAAGAAACTAATTGACTGAATTCTTTCGATTTTGCTTTTACCTGATTCAGCGGCTTTGAAGGACCCAAATATCTTCAAAATAATTCAAACTACGTGTCTGACAACAAATTTAGGAAATTTTTCTCAAAATGATCAAATAACATTTTAGAATTATCGCGACCTGTACGTCAATTTTAACGTTATCATGGTATCCGAGGTTTTAACAGCCTTATTTTACAATACTTGCCTTTTTACTATATAAAATAATTGGATCAATTCATTTCAACGTTTACTTATTGAATATTGTATCCCAATAAATTTAGAATTATTTCCTATATCTATTATAACTGTTAATTTAATCCAGGCTTTTTGATGACTAAATTCGTCATTTGCACATCTGCCATAATACACCTTGTTTGCCCTCAAAAACTTGCATAAGCATTGCCTTCGTTTCCTGAAAAACTGCAATAACCAGGAGAAATCACACAAAAAAGGTTATGGAAAACTTTAGGGGGCAAACGAGGTGTCTTATGGCAGATGTGCAAATCGCCAATTCAAAAACTTGAACATAAAATAACTTAATGGTAGAAGTTGGATTTAAATTTCAACAGTGTTCAACACAGTTAATTGCTAGCATTTTTTTTTTTTTTTTTCCTTTTAATTTTAAATTTACATCGCTTTTTTTACTTTTATTTCATTTTATTTTTTGCTTTTTAAACATATTTTAATACACAGGACGTATTTAATATCGCGGTTTCCTCGATTTACACGGGTTATTAATTGAGCTGGTGCACTATATATCAAGTGAATAGCAATCTAGAGTTACGTCACAAAGAACACAACAATGATCCCTAATCGCCTAAACAATAACACAATTAACTCCACACAATAGAACGACACAATAGTGTATATATTGACTTGGTACGTCGAGCATCACTCGGTTTTGAACAAAATTAATTCAATTTTAAGTTACAGAGGGGAGCCTCTCACGTTTCCCTGTCTTAGGAAGCAAGAAAAGGGAAAAAAAGCATGGTCAGATTAGGGTTAAACTCCTGTTTATTAAGTACGTATGACGATACGTTTTCTCGTGTTTTGTCGAACTTTTGCCTTTTTAAAAGCTACAATATTTCTACTGCTAATTTATGTATAGATCAGTTTTTAACGACCACGAAATGTAACTGTGTTTTACCCCTTTTAAAACCTTTTTGGAAAAAAATAGTTAGCGAGACTAATGTCTTTTATTTTCTCTTACCCATGGCACTTACCTAAGCAACGTGGAACAGAGGAACTCCAACTCCTATTAGCTTGACAATATATAACATCAGTCCCCACTAGAGTGTAATTCTTGTCACAAGCAAACTTGACTGATCCACCATAGACGTAGCCTTTCTTGACAATCTGCTTTCCGTTTGTTGGTTCACCAGGATCACCGCACTCAACAGCTATAATAATTATAGGGAAGTTAATTTTTTACCCTTTGTCGTTTACATATAATGAACTGATACAAGAAATGAAGATAGCAGGGTATTAAGTAACTGCAACTTGAATAGACCCACGCCAGTTAATTCTTCTTTAAACGGTTCAAAGTTGCGGGGTATGTAGCTCATTTTGCAACCATGACCGAAATCTGTCACGAAATTTAAAAAGTTGCAAATAAAACAACCCCCTTTACCTCCAAAATCAACACAAGCTTTTATTTTAAAAAACAAGAGTGAACACTAACCTTTACACTTAGGAGTGGCAGTGTTCCATCTTCCATCTACACAAGACAGTTCAGCCTCGCCCTCCAGTGTGTACCCAAGGTTACAAGAGTATCGTACTTTTTTTCCGTGTGTATAGTTATTACCGATTTTAAGACCATGATTTAAAACACCAGGTGAGCGACAGTTAGCTTAATCAGAAAGAAAAAAATCAAGCTTAGCTACAAAAAAAAGTAAGGGAACAAAACAAATTGCTCGTTATTTCTTTAGTTCTTTATAGAAACTAACTCACTGAGTTATTTTGATTTGGATTTTACGTTATTGAGACCAAGGAACATCTTTGAATATCTTCCAAATAGTTCAAACTATAAAATAAAACTTAGCAAATAGTCCTAAAAAATAATCTAAGAACATTTTAAAAGCAAGGGGACCTGTACGTCAACTTTAACGTTACCATGGCAACTCAGGTGTAACAGCCTTGTTTTACGAAATTCGTCTTTTTTCTATAAAAGGCTTTCTGGCTGAAATACTGTATCACGCTCAATTTAGAATTATTTAAATATTTGTTATAACTGTTAATTCAGTCAAGGCCTTTTGGTGACCAAATTCGCACTTCTCCCATAATACACATACTGATGTTCCGAAAGTTATCCTAGAATATGTTTGTAAAGCACCTTAAGTAAGCAAAGCACCTCAACCAAGTAAAGCACCTCAAGTAAGCAAAGCACCTCAAGCAAGTAAAGCACCTCAAGTAAGCAAAGCACCTCAAGCAAGTAAAGCACCTTAAGCAAGCAAAGCAGCTCAAGCAAATAAAGCACCTCAAGTAAGCAAAGCACCTCAAGCAAGTAAAGCACCTCAAGCAAGTAAAGCACCTCAAGCAAGCAAAGCAGCTCAAGCAAATAAAGCACCTCAAGTAAGCAAAGCACCTCAAGCAAGTAAAGCATCTCAAGCAGGTAAAGCACCTCAAGTAAGCAAAGAAACTCAAGGAAGTAAAGCACCTTAAGCAGGCAAAGCATCTCAAGCAAGCAAAGCACCTCAAGCAAGTAAAGCACCTCAAGGAAGCAAAGCACCTCAAGGAAGCAAAGCACCTCAAGCAAGTAAAGCATCTCAAGTAAGCAAAGCACCTCAAGCAGGCAAAGCATCTCAAGCAGGCAAAGCACCTCAAGCAAGTAAAGCACCTCAAGTACAATAGTACAATTGCACGATGACGTCATGTTACTACAACTACCAGAATCCTTGAGTTTGTTGTTTTCTTATGCAAATTAAGGCTATTGTTCTTTAATCCTCAGCGGGATTGACAAATTTAAATAACAAAGCAAAACCGAAATGAATTCTGGTAGTTGTAGTCAAATGTCGTCATCGTGCAATTGTCCTATTATCTCCACACAATAGAACGACACAATAGTGCATATATTGACTTGGTATATCGAGCATCACCCGCTTTTGAACAAAGTTAATTCAAAATGGCAGATTTAATATGGCGTTGTTCCAGTACGTTCTCTAATAATAAACAAAGTCATCATGACGCCACTGCTATTGTTAAAGATTATCCGTGTGTTAGCCAACTTCACAAGTTTTTTAAACATTTCACTGTGTTAGCATTTTCCGCTTCATGGCTACTCCTAGGCAAAAAAAATGATGAAATTTGGATTCTGCTTATATATAAGTCATAATTAACAATGTTATCTCAAAAGTACGTCAAATCGCGTTAATTCTCCCCATTATGTTGAGACTGATTAGTACTTTATTAGGTGTAATTTTGGTAGATGTGCTATGATCTGTTTTAAGTTATGGAGGGGAGCCTCCCGGGTTTCTCTGTCGTAGGAAGCCAGAAAAGGAAAAAACAACCATGGTCATGACGATAAGTTTTGCCGTGTTTTGTCTAACTTTTGCCGTTTAAAAGCTACAATATTTCTACTGTTTATTTATATATAGATCAGTTTTTAACGACCACGAAATGTAGCTGTGATTATAAGCCTTTAAAAAACTGTTCGAAAAAAAAATAGTTAGCGGGACTAATTTCTTTTATTTTCTCTTACCCATGACACTTACCTAAGCAACGTGGAACAAAGGAACTCCAGCTCCTATTAGCTTGACAATATATAACATCAGCCCCCACTAGAGTGTAATTCTTGTCACATACAAACTTGACTGATCCACCATAGACGTAGCCTTTCTTGACAATCTGCTTTCCGTTTGCTGGTTTGCCAGGATCACCACACTCAACAGCTATACAAATATAAACAGGGCGGTTAATTTTTTAGCCTTTGTCGTTTTCATATAACGAACTAATACAATAAATGAAGATAGCAGAGTATTAAGTAACTGCAACTTGAATAGACGCACAAGAGCTAATTCTTCTTTAAACGGTTCAAAGTTGCCGGGTATGTAATTCACTTTCCAACCATTACCGAAAGCTGTCACGCAATTTAAAAAGTTGCAAATAAAACAACACGCTTTACCTCCCAAATAAACTCAAGCTTTTATTTTAAAAACAAGAATGCACGCTAACCTTTACACTTGGGAGTGGCAATGTTCCATATTCCATCCACACAAGACAGTTCAGCTTCTCCTTCAAGTGTGTACCCAAGGTTACAAGAGTATCGAACTATTTTTCCATGTGTATAATTATTACCGATTTTAAGACCATGATTTAAAACACCAGGTGAGCGACAGTTGGCTAAATCAGAAAGAAAAAAAATCAAGCTTAGCTACAGAAAAAAGTAAAGGAACAAAACAAATTGCTCCTTATTTCTTTAGTTCTTTATAGAAACTAACTCACTCAGTTATTTTGATTTTGATTTTATTTTATTGAGACCAATTAATATCTTTGAATATCTTCAAAATCGTTCAAACTATAAAATCAAATTTAGCAAATAGTCCTTCAAAATAATCTAAGAACATTTTAAAAACATGGTGACCTGTACGTCAACTTAAAGTTACCATGGCAACTCAAGTTTAACAGCCTTCTTTTACGAAATTCGTCTATTTTCTATCAAAAAATTATTTATTTCGCGGTTTTCTTACTGAAATATTGTATCACATTCAATTTACAATTATTTAAATATTTGTCATAACTATTAATTCAGTCAAGGTCTGTTGGTGACCACATTTGCACTTCTCCCATAATGCACCTTGTTTGCACCCAAAATATTGCATAAGCATCGTCTTCAGTCTCCTCTGGGAAAACTGCAATACCCAGGAGAAATTGAAAAGAAGGTTGTGCAAAACTTTGGAGGCAAACGAGGTGTATTATGGGAGATGTGCAAATGGCCAATAGACCTTTTTACCGATACGGCGGCCATATTGAATTAATTAGTCTTACAGAGTATTGGGATGCCCAGGGGGCATGAGGTTGATCCGATATACTCGTTCGGTATTTACGCTCGCTTTTCGGTTCTAAACAGTAAAAGAAAAAAGAAGCACTTAAAAGTGTGGACAATCCGAAGAAACTGGAATGGTCTTTCACTGTACTTTTTATAACGTAAAAGGCGATCATTATTACATCCAAACATGGTACAAAGTTCTTTTTTCCCATTAAAATCTTATTCTTTCAAAACTTAAAGAAAACATAGCCCCGAAAAGCTCGCTTAGATACTAAGTGAGTATATCGGATGGTGCTCATGCCCCCTAGGCAGCCCATAATACTCCTTAAATCTAATTAATTCAATATGGTCACCGTATCGGTAAAAAAAAACTGAATATAAAATGACCTCATGGTAGATGTTGGATTCAAATTTTAAAAGTGTTCGACAGTGTTAATTATCAGCAGTTTTTTTTTTTTACTTTTACATTTACATCCCCTGTCTTAGGAAGCCAGAAAACGGAAAAAGCAAGGTCAGATTAGGGTTAATCTTTTGTTTATTCCGTGTGACGATAAGTTAATTTTTTTGGACAACGCGACGAACATTTGTCGTCTTTTGTTACAAACTTTTGTCGTTTAAAAGCTACAATGCTGCTACTGATAATTTATGTATAGATCATGTTTTAACGACCAAAAATTGAACTGTCGTTTTTTACTATTAGGAACTCTTTGAAAAACTTAGTTAGCGGGACTAATGTCGTTTATTTTCACTGACCCATGGCACTTACCTAAGCAACGTGGAACAGAGGAACTCCAACTCCTATTAGCTTGACAATATATAACATCAGCCCCCACTAGAGTGTAGTTCTTGTCACATACAAACTTGACTGATCCACCATAAACGTAGCCTTCCTTCACGATCTGCCTTCCATTGGGGGGTTTGCCAGGATCACCACACTCAACAGCTATAACAATTGAAAGGATCTAAATTTTTAATCTTTGTCCTTTACGATTAAGCAAGTACGGGAAATGAAGGGTACGGGATACTAGGTAAAACTTTGAGTACAACTCGAGTAGATGCACTCGAGTTAATTCTTCATTTGACCATAGTTAATTGAGTGGAATGGTTATGAGACACGTCAGACTCCTTTGTTATATGTTTTTGTGGACCTGAAAGTACACAACGTTCAAAAGAATTCCTATCATTTTGATTGTATTGACCAATAAAAACGTTGCATTAATTTATTCCGTAACAATTTGCCAACAGAAAACAAAGGATTGTTCACTTTCACCAGCACTGTTGTTTTTATCATTGATGTTTGCCGCTTTTCATAACCAGTCTCCTCTAATAACTATGATTTGACGGTTAAAATTTGAGGGCTTGTTTATTTTGCAGCCATTTCAAAAATTTGTCACAAAATATTAAAATTTGCAAAAAAACAAATACACAACAACATTAAGCTCCAAAATCAATACAACCTTTTATTTTGGAAAACAAGAAGACCGCGAACAGCTCGCGTGGTCGCACATACCTTCACCATGTATAGGATAGCATGTGTTGCGCGTTTCTTAAAAGTCGCTGCAAATTTTCCTGCCTAAAGCCATTTTCTTGAATTAAAACCTGAGTCTCAAAACTAACCATTCTATTATTTGTTTCTTTATGTGATAGCTTTCTTTGCACCTCTTTTAAAAGTATTATAACCTCGATCTTCAAGTTAAATACCTAAACAAAACACTCAGATTTCTTGGATAGGTCACTACCGAGACTTTCCAAAAACTCAGGTCCCCGTAAATTTACACATTTTTCCTCTGCGGAAAAAACAATTCTACCAATAGCAATATTTCATTTGGTACATCATAAGAAGCTATGTAAACGAGCATTATGATGCGAACTGTGAGGGATCTCCTTCAGAATCTATTCGGCTGTTCTTCACCGGCCGAACATGGTGCATTTTCCTCTGAAACGTCTTTATTTCTCTTGGCCAGAGCTGGTCTTACTCGAGTTGGCGATTAAAGTTAAGTAGATCTCTTTGCTTGCACTCTAACGGCTTCATCTCGAATTCAAATATTTTTTACAAAGGCGACATAATAAGCTGACGTGCTGAAGTGTTGAAATTTCAATGACAAGTTTATTGCTGGAAGGCGGATCGGCAGCATCAAAGGCATGTCTCCAGCTAGGCTCCGCCACCCTTTTCCCTCCCCAGACTACCTCTCGGCTCGCTTTGCTCGCCGATTTTCTTTTTGCCTACGCCGATTTTTTTCATTTTTCCCCCAATGCGGATCCTAGTCCCAGGCTACAAGCTATATATCTCTAAATACAAATTCACGCACGCTTACGAAAGTACCTTTGCACTTGGGGGTATCAGTATTCCATGTTCCCTCTTCACAAGTCACTTCAGCCTCGCCTTCAAGTGTGTACCCAAGGTTACAAGAGTATCGAACTGTCTTTCCGTGCTTGTAGTTATCACCAATTTTAAGGCCGTGATTTATATCACCAGGGGATCGACAGTTAGCTTTAATTTGAACAGAACGAAAACTATTAATAACGGAAAAACTAGGGTAAACGAATGATTTGTTCTTTGACACCAAATTTCATAGTAAATTAATTGGTTTCGTTAACTTGCGTTTCTCTTAGTTTTATTCACCACACTAATTTAAATTGTTCAAACAACTAGTATTAATACTTATTTGTAAAAAGGCTATAATTTTCTACCACTAACTTTCATAAATTACATTTCTACGACCATCTAATCTTACCGCTATTTATACTTTAAGGCAAAAACTAATGAGGGTAAATGTCTTTGATTTTCTCTTACGCATGGCACGTACCTACGCAGCGTGGAACAGAGGAACTCCAACTCCTATTAGCTTGACAATATATAACATCAGTCCCCACTACAGTGTAATTCTTGTCACAAACAAACTTGACTGATCCGCCATAGACGTAGCCCTTCCTGACAATCTGCTTTCCGTTAGTTGGTTTGCCAGGATTACCACACTCAACAGCTATCGTAATAATTACAGGGTGGTTAATTTTTTAGCCCGTGTCGTTTACATATAATAAACCAATACAAGAAATGAAGATTGCAAGGTATCAAGTAAAGCTTTAGCCTGCAACTTGAATAGACGCTCACGAGTTAATTCTTCTTTTACCAGTTCAAAGTTGCGGGCTATATAATTCATTTTCCAGTCATTCCCATAATTTGCCACGTCATTTGAAAAGTTGCAAATAAAATAACCTTAACTTCCAAAACAAACGAAAGCTTTTATTTTGGAAATGGAAAACAAGAATGAACGCTTACCTTTACACTTGGGAGTGGCAGTGTTCCATCTTCCATCTACACAAGTCAGTTCAGCCTCGCCTTCAAGGGTGTACCCCAGGTTACAAGAGTATCGAACTCTTTTTCCGTGCGTGTAGTTATTACCGATTTTAAGGCCGTGATTTATATCACCAGGGGATCGACAGTTAGCTTTAATTTGAACAGAAAGAAAACTCTTAATAACAGAAAAACTAGCCAGGGTAAACGAATGATATGTTCTTTAAGACCAAATTTCATAGTAAATTAATCGTTAACTTGCGTTTCTCTTAGTTTTATTCAGCACACTAACTTAAATTGTTCGAACAACTAGTATTAATACGTATTTGTAAAAAGCTACAATTTTCTACCGCTAATTTTCATATATTACGTTTCTACGACCACTTACTCTTACTGTTATTTATACTTTAAGGCACAAACTAATGAGAGTAAATGTCTTTAATTTTCTCTTAGGCATGGCACTTACCTAAGCAACGTGGAACAGAGGAACTCCAACTCCCATTAGCTTGACAATATATAACATCAGTCCCCACTAGAGTGTAATTCTTGTCACAAAAAAACTTGACTGATCCACCATAGACGTAGCCCTTCCTGACAATCTGCTTTCCGTTTGTTGGTTTGCCAGGGTTACCACACTTAACAGCTATCGTAATAATTACAGGGTGGTTAATGTTTTAGCCTTTGTCGTTTACATATAATGAACTAATACAAGAAATGAAGATAGCAGGGTATTAAGTAACTGCAACTTGAATAGACGCACGCCAGCTAATTCTTCTTTAAACGGTTCAAAGTTGCGGGGTATGTAATTCATTTGTACCGAAATCTCTCACGCAATTTAAAAGGTTGCAAATAAAACAACCCGCTTTTCCTCTAAAATCAACACAAGCTTTTATCTTAAAAAACAAGAATGAACGCTAACCTTTACACTTGGGAGAGGCAGTGTTCCATTTTCCATCTACACAAGTCAGTTCAGCCTCGCCTTCAAGTGTGTACCCAAGGTTACAAGAGTATCGAACTGTTTTTCCGTGTGTATAGTTATTACCGAATTTAAGACCATGATTTAAAACACCAGGTGAGCGACAGTTAGCTTAATCAAAAAGAAAAAAATCAAGCTTAGCTACAGAAAAAAGTAAGGGAACAAAACAAATTGCTCGTTATTTCTTTAGTTCTTTATAGAAACTAACTCACTGAGTTATTTTGATTTGGATTGTACGTTATTGAGACCAAGAAACATCTTTGAATATCTTCAAAATAGTTCAAACTATGAAATCAAACTTACCAAATAGTCCTAGAAAATAATCTAAGAACATTTTAAAAGCAAGGGGACCTGTACGTCAACTTTAACGTTACCATGGCAACCCAGGTGTAACAGCCTTGTTTTACGAAATTCGTCTTTTTTCTATAAAAGGTTTTCTGGCTGAAATATTGCATCACACTCAATTTAGAATTATTTAAATATTTGTTATAACTGTTAATTCAGTCAAGGCCTTTTGGTGACCAAATTCGCACTTCTCCCATAATACACATACTGATGTTCCGAGAGTTTTCCTAGAATATGTTTGTAAAGCACCTTAAGTAAGCAAAGCACCTCAAGCAAGTAAAGCACCTCAAGTAAGCAAAGCACCTCAAGGAAGCAAAGCACCTCAAGCAAGTAAAGCACCTCAAGCAAGTAAAGCACCTCAAGCAAGTAAAGCACCTCAAGTAAGCAAAGCACCTCAAGCAGGCAAATCACCTCAAGCAAGTAAAGCACCTCAAGTAAGCAAAGCACCTCAAGCAAGTAAAGCACCTCAAGCAAGTAAAGCACCTCAAGTAAGCAAAGCACCTCAAGCAGGCAAAGCACCTCAAGCAAGTAAAGCAAAGCACCTCAAGCAGGCAAAGCACCTCAAGCAAGTAAAGCACCTCAAGTAAGCAAAGCACCTCAAGCAGGCAAAGCACCTCAAGCAGGTAAAGCACCTCAACAACTCAAGTTAGGAAGAAAAGTATCTCTAGTAAGCAAAGCTACCACAGAAGATAAGTGAGATGAAGTATATAGACAACTATATGATGGCTTGACATGAAGTACATCCCACAAAGTTCTTTTTTCGCATTACAATCTTATTCTTGGAAAACTTTCAGTTTAAGCGCGCTTAAATACTGAGTGAGTGTATGGGATGGTGCTCGTGCCCCCTCAGCATCCCATAATACTCCTTAAATCTAATTAATTCAATATGGACTCCGTATCGGTGAAAAACAAAATGAACATAAAATGACTTAATGGTAGATGTTGGATTCAAGTTTTAACAGTGTTCAACAGTGTTAATTATCAGCAGTTTTTTTTTACTTTTACATTTACATCCCCTGTCTTAGGAAGCCAGAAAAGGGAAAAAGCATGGTCAGATTAGGCTTAAACTTTTGTTTATTCCGTGTGACGATAAGTTAATTTTTTGGTACAACAAACCTTTGTCGTCTTTTGTAGAACTTTTGTCGATTAAAAGCTACAATATTGCTACTGCTAATTTATGTATAGATCATGGTTTAACGACCAAAAATTGAACTGTCGTTTTTTACTATTAAGAACTCTTTGACAAAATTAGTTTGCGGGATTAATGTCGTTTATTTTCTCTTACCCATGGCACTTACCTAAGCAACGTGGAACAGAGGAACTCCAACTCCTATTTGCTTGACAATATATAACATCAGCCCCCACTAGAGTGTAATTGTTGTCACATACAAACTTGACTGATCCACCATAGACGTAGCCTTTCTTGACAATCTGCTCTCCATTTTTTGGTTTGCCAGGATCACCACATTCAACAGCTGTAATATTTTCAGGGATGTCAATTTTTTAACCTTTATTTGTCGTTTATATATCAGATAAACTATTGTAGAAATTCAAGACTGGGGGATATCAAGACTACAACTTGGATAACTGACTGACCGAACACAAACGCGCGACGAGGAATGGTGACGTCAACAATCACATTCTGGAGCACCATTTAAAGACGAAACATCAAATTGACTGGGACTCTGCGACATGGATAACGTATTCTACAGACTACTATTAACGTCTTCCTTTAGAAAGCTGGTTACTAACTTAGAACAAACGCCACTGAATCGTAGCCAACAGTTACCAGCGCCGTACAAACGACTTATTGACGAGATCAAGCAAAACTAACTACGAGAGAACGACTGGAGAACTGACAATTTGACTAACAATAGACGACTGTTTAACTGTGACAATAGACGGATCGAAACGCACCAATAGGCCATTTTCACGATGACGACATTTGACTACAACTACCAGAATTCATTTCGTTTTTGCTTTGTTATTGAAATTTGTCAATCCCGCTGAGGATTAAATAACAATAGTCCTAATTTGCACAAGAAAACAACAAACTGAAGGATTCTGGTAGTTGTAGTAAAATGATGTCATCGTGCAATTGTCCTATTACTGATTACGAGTCTTCATAGCCAATAACATCAAGGCTTAACTGACCAATTAATTGACCAATCACGGATCAATAACCAGAGTATAATACCATCAACTGACGTGGTACAACTCACTTTGACTCTGAAGATGACTACCGCACAGGTTGTCGAAACGTCAGTCACTGTCAACAACAACAGTCCTATTCAGGACTACGTTCACTTGAACGATCAAAGTCAACCTACTTTTGAAATAATAAGATCCGTAACTATTTTTCTTAAATTTCTCAACGATTATAAACCTTTTAGTTTAAAAACTACCTTAAAACAGATTTACGAAACTTTCGGTGAACCAGTTTACCGAATTCTCGAAGACCGAGAAATCCCCTAGCTTACTAACCAATCGCGTGTGATGGCTGGGTGCTGGGTTATTGTGCTACATTAAGCTGTACCCACAAAATACTTATCTGCCGGCAACTTACGTTTGCATTCAGGCGTAGTCTCATTCCATGTTCCTTTCACGCAAGATATTATTTCTGACCCAAGCAGTTCGTAACCAACGTTGCATCGAAATTGAATGGACGATCCAGAACTGTAATCCTCTCCGATGATTGAACCATTTTTGAAAGGTTCTGGATTCTTGCAATTGCCTTTGGGCAAGAAAGGGAACGAAAATGTTCTATTTATTTATTTATTTATTTAAAAAAAGAAGAATATACAGTTTACGTATATTTCCTTGAAGAAGAAATATTTCACCAAAACCTCTGCGGTCTAGTCATATCTCAAACCTTCACAAGTTGGAATACTGCCGTTCCATATTCCTTGAACACATTTGATCTGCCTCAAACCTTGCAATTTAAATCCCTCGTTACATGAAAAAGAGACTAATGCTCCATTTTCATTGCCATTGTTGTGTATTTTTCCATTCCTAAGGGTTTGTAGTGGATCACAAGATGCTGAAGATGAAACGAGAAGTCAAAAAAGTAAACACGGACACAAACACGCAAACAGGTCAATTATTTTTTTAAGTGCCTTTTTGAACAGGGTTTTCGATGATTTATTGCGAATAGAAAGGGAAAATCATGTTCAAATAAAAGACACCAACAGGAGCTCTTAAACGAAAAACTAAATTATTTAAAGACACCAAAAAAGCAACAAATAACACTCAACTAGCCAGCTTCAAAAGACGCGGCCATCATCATCGCTGACCGCTGACCAGATGAATTGAATTCGCGCCCTTTTACACACGAATTTCACAATTTCTTAATCCACGCCACTGTTTTGAAGTTCGCCATCTTTACCTACCTGGAGCAGAACATCCATAGAGCTCCAATCTAAGACAAGGAACCACAGGAACCATTAAAAACCTAAACGGGTCTTTTGGGTATATCCTGATTGATCGTGTCCTAATTGGTGGCTTGAAGACATTCTTTTTCAAGGATCTGCTGTTTCGATTACCTTTAAGTAGCTGTAAACAGAAAAAAAAAGGAAAAAAAGGCCTATGTTTATATTCCTAGCTCAGTAATAGCTATGTTAGCCAAGAAAATTATGGCGCTTTGTTTTTAATAGTGATAAAACTTGTAATAATGAATGTATTTGTAATGTGTCATCAAATATTTGCAAGTGACACCGTGGTCGCGATATTTTCTCAGTTTTGGGTTTGTCTGTTTAAACGCAGCAGTAGTTTAGGCTCCACGGGAACAGAATACAAGATATATGTAAAGAATGTTGTTACGTTCCGAAAAGAGCCAACGAGATGTCAGAAAACTAAACCGCAAGCATCAACACCGTAATGGTGATTATCATATCGTTTCGCCATTTGCTTGCGTTTTGTTCCCTTCAATGTGAATGGTAATGACAAAGTAGTCATTATGAAAAAAAAGTGGTTTTGTTTGTTACGTCGACAGTAACTTTATAATGCTGGTAAAAACATCACTGTTAGCTTTCAGAAAAAGTTACCTTTCCGTACGATGTCCATTTTTCGTCTCTCGTGTATGTAACTTCAAAATTTCTGGCCCAACTAGAATCGCGTGAACTTCCCTGGGTTGTTATCGCTGTTATAAGGTTTTCTTCGTCCCAAGTAATTTGTATATACGGTGATTTATCGCCCGGAGCTGAGCACCAGGCTCTAGGGCCATCCAGCCGAGCAAATGCAGGTGCGTGATTGGCGCTTAGCTCAGACGATGACGTAATACCATTATCTGGGATTCTTTTGTCTTGCATTCCAAATTCGCTGCTACATTCTGATGCTTAGAAACAATATGTATGTTAGTATAATGTCACACAAATAGGACTTAAATTTGAGAGTCACCCCATGGACCTAATCGTATAGAGTAATGGCGGCTCCGAGTAACATGATAAAAGCTAAAGTCAGATGCAAAAGCTAAATTAGAACGAGCTTGCAGAGTAGGCTGAACGTGACGTTAAGCTGATTTTTATCTGGATTAGCAAGGCCAAGACGCTTCTCAATTTCATGTCTATAAAACAACAGATACATTACTATTTGGATCCAAGTAATAACCACTGAATTTTTACTGTAAGCGCTAGCTGTCTTTAAACTCGCGTATACGTCGGTATATACGACGGAAACGCCAATAACCAAGACGTGTGTGCTTTGTAATGCTGCTAAATTATCCCTAACCGTGTCCTATTTTTCCTTGCGTTCACTTTCAGTTTTTTAAATGAACGATACGATGCGATAAAAATATGGCTGAAAACAAACATGAAATGAGAAATTCCGATGTATTACAAATTATCGACTCAAAAAATCTTGTTTTTCTTTGGTTTTAAGAGTAAACAAACGTTTCAGACCACGTTTGAACGCAGTACCGCCCCTACAATGAGTTCTTTAGACTGAATGCTTAATCCCATTACTGGTGCTTCATCACTGTATTCTATTTTTTCACATCAAAGTTATACTTCCTTTAGTTAATGTCTTGCACGTACACCTTAAAGTTTATTTGTAAAGTGTATTTACCTACAATCTCATTATCTCTTACGTTCATAAAAGTTATATTACACCGTTGTTAAGTTACTTTTTTTCCTCCCGTTGTGCAGTGCAAATTGTATGCCGACACACACTAAGGTTAGCACACTCTCAAAGAATAGCCATTTGGATCCTAAAAGCACCTTAATATTGATACTTACTTGCACTTGCAGAACGTTGACCTATGAAAATCAGTGTAACGGCAAATAACCACAATAAAATCTGATGAAAATAAGACGATTAAAAAAAAATTATTCGGACTTTCACTTAAATGAGTATTACATAGATGGCTAGCAATTTTTTTCTCTTTCAAGTGACACTTTTGACACGTTTCATAACTATTCACTAAAAGCCATGCATATATCCTTGCTCCTTTCGAAAAAAAAAATAATTAGAACAATTTAAGCTAGTTTAAAAGCCAGTGCAATGCATTCAAAGAAAGTGGTTTGAATTTACCGTTTCGTTTCGTTTCTACTTTTTAGCGGCTGCTAAATACAAGTATATTGCTGAAAGTAGTCTTTGTTAAGATAGAAGCGGAATGTCAGTTGGTTTATTTTCTCATGCGGTCATTAAATAAAAAAACCTGAACAGTGCTGTCTCAAAGAACGGAAGACAAATGTGCTGACACTCCCAACCAACAAGAGACTTAGCCGAATGGATTCAAACAAAGAGGAAATGTTTCACAGACTTCCTATTATCAGTGCCCTTGCAACTCACATCACTTAATATACAGATGATACAGCTGTTTATTTGAAACCTCTTCACGTTAAAGTTCAACTCTTCGAAGCTTGTCTGTGGCGTAAACACCTCCGATGTTCACAGCGGTGTTTACACTAGCCGATGGTTTAGCATGAAGTAAACTTTTATATGGACAACAGTTATATATTTTTGTACCTTGAGAACATACCTTATATCCAAGTGAAAACATGTCGAAGAGTGTGAAATGACAGAACCATCAGTTACTCAAAGATGGATTTTCATTCATTGACATCGACTCCGTGCTATTCCCGAAGCAACTCTGCAACTGATTATCGTGCAATGGTTGTTAACCTTTTAAGACGCAAAAAGGTCACGTTTTCCCAAAATTAATGATGTCTTGCGAAGAACTGAAGGAAGTGGAAAGTGGGTTGGGTGAAAATGTGCACCATAGAATATTTACCGTTTAGAGTCATAAGGTTATTAAGCTGTTTAATCTGAGACACTTTAATAGCGGTATAAATTCAGAAAGGTCTGTTTTAACAGGGAGTCGTCTGGATGAGTAAGGAGCACTACTGAAAACTATCAATCACAATTGATATCATTTGCCAAAATAAATATTGTTGTTCTGTTTAGTAACACTCCTGGAACTGACTCGTCCCCAGTCGTCTCAAGTTGTCTCTACTCATTAATTATTCCGTGGGATACCTGTGGCACTCCCACCGTAAAAATCCGGTTCGGTTGTACCCAAAATTGCAAAGCCAGCCAATAGGATTGCCTAAAATCTTAATCGATTATCTCTTCTTCCAAGCCGACCAATCAGATTGTACAAACTCTGTATCGATTTTTAATCGATTTGCTTCCTGGTGGACAATGAGATGCGTTTTGTTTGGCTGCCAAATTTGTCGCGCTTGAGTTTTCTCACTCATGGTTTAGGATGGCTTCTTAACCAACGAAATCCTTCGGGATAGTGGCAAGTCACGAAAGGCGACCTAAGCCAAATTATTTCTTTCCTTCATGATTCTTTTTTGTTTAGGAGCTTTTTCATAATGTTTTAGTAGCGTCTGGTTGCGGGCCGTGATTTCCGATAGATTTTTCTATTCGGAGTTCGCCAGTTTTTGCCGAGCACAGGTAGAGTTCAGTTATTTTCTTTTCTTATCGAAAACACCTTGACGATGGGAGGTTAAATCGCGTAAATTTCATCTCGTACCCTTGACGATTGGCGGTGAAATCGCGAAAATATTGTCCTTGTCGATCGACGACTCGCTTTCGGCATGGATTGGACTTCTGGATGGGACACGGATCAGGACCTTAGTAAACTTATTATACCTTGGAATCAGGGAAAATCATTGGAACTATGTTAACTTTGATACCTTGGAAACACATTGCAATTAATTTTTAACTGTATCAAGAGCATCTTGGAATATTAAACTTTCATCTTGGATTAAAACATTGGAACTTTATCGAACTTTGTAACCCTGGGTTCGACCCTGGATAAAGCAAGCGGATGTTTTGTTTTGTTTTGTTCCATTAACCTAAAACTACAATGTTCATTTCTCTTTGGAAAAGCTACCTGTGGCTACTTACTACCAAGATATGACGTATCTTTATACATATAGTTCCTGTTCAGGTTAATCAGAGAGCATTTTCCGAATGTTCTCCATTACTTGTTTCCGTTAACATTCCAATTTAAGTTACACGGGAAAACCTTGTTTTGATGCAAAATAACTTCTTTCTCTTATCCAAATCGTGCTATGAAAATAACTACATATCGATAGATCAAAACAAGATCAACTCCATCCTTGCGACCAGTTAGCTTGCGTAGAAGGTGTCGAAAGGGGTAGGGGATACGGAGGAAGCAAAAAGGGGATGTGGATTGGGGAGAAATATTAGCCTGTCACGCAGGCTACTATAAATTCAGTCATAAGCACATTAAACCAGCCCATACAGGTAGGCTACTCATCGAAGCTCATAACATGACACATCTTTCTGGTTTCCCTAATTTTTCCAAATTCTGATAGAACGCCATTATGCTTCCATAGACCAACGCATCCCACGGAAACGACTTTAGGTGTCTTGTTTTACTAGGGAAACGCTTGGGTTATGCGCGAGGGGAAGAATAGATGGGATCCCCTTCGTTAAAGAGCCCGTTCTTGTCTTCCACGCCAAAACTGAAAAGTTACAGATTTCGACCAATTACTACCCCGAACTCGTTTTTTACATAGTATTAGTAATGAAAATTGAACTGGCTGAAATCTTTCCTTAAAAACGGTTACATTAATTACTTTTCTCTTGGTAGCGATACATACATCCATTTCATTTTGTCCAGTAAATGTTTGCCGAGTGCTAGATATAATTTTAGTTTGATTACTTAAGGTCGTCTTTCATTTTTTACTGAAAGTACATTTATGATAATGCAATCTGAATGGAAAAAATACCTTTAGCCCGTATCGAACTTGATTGGTGCGCTAATTTTGTTTTAATTTGTAAATGTTATGTTAGTATAGGTAATAGCATGATTTGTAGTGATATTTCGCATGAATACCACGAATGATATTTCAAAATTGTCATACTTAATTTCACGATTCGTTAGGCGAGTAAAATTTGAGACGATTTTGAAATATCACGAGTGGTATTTATGCCAAATATCACATACAAATCATGCTATTAATTGTTTATACTACTAACCTTAGGAGGTTTGTAATTTTCACATGTAGGTGTTTCAAATTAAGCTGAAATACCACTGCTCTAAGCCAATCAAATTGCATAAATTTCTCATGTAGTAGTATAAGGTATAAATTTGCATGTTTTTATTCAACTTGTAGGTATTGGCATCATGTCAACGAGGAAAGGTTACCGGAATTGTCACGGTTTTGAGTGGTCCAAAATAAAGTCGCAACACTAAGGGCCTGTTTACATGGAGTGGGGGACCCCGGTCTAGTGGGGTTGGTTTCTTTTGTTTTTACGCTCTGGGGGACACAAAACAAAAGAAACCTACCCTACTAGACCGGGGTCCCCCACTCCATGTAAACAGGGTCTAAGAGAGAATGATATCGAGCTACCTTATCCTCTCTTGGTCGCAAATACAGTGAAACCTCTATCAAGTGGACCCCCAATTAAGCGGACACCCTCTATTAAGCGGGCACTAAGCCTGGTCCCGAAAGAACGTCTGATATTTCCCTTTATTATTCATTCAAAATATTTTCCCGATTCTGATTGGCTAAAAGCACACGTTTAATTCACCATAACCAGTTACTGATGACCAAATTTAAAAGAATTTTGTGTTTAACGGGGAAATGACGTCAAAAATGCGGCGTTTTCGCAGGTTAAGGCACCGTTAACCGAGAAGACCTGAAGACGAGGTTGAGTTGTTTTGGTTGTGAACTTGAAAAATGGCGGACATTTCACTCGTTTCAAAAGTAAGAACTAGGCGAAAAAATAGCTAAAAACATGGCAAGAGGAGCAAGAAGACAACTCGAAGGGCAACATCTGCTATTTGGAGAATATTTGCGGAGCTGGACAAACCTAAACGTGCACTATCGAAGATGAACTTAACATCGATGAATCGATGGAGGTAAGCATGTTTAAGCCATTTTTTACACTAGGAATTATTTTGAATGAATAATAAAACAATTATTGAATTCGGCTTTCGTATCATATAAAGAATTATGGAGATCGAGGAGGGTGTTATCCGTCGAGGCCGTAGGCCGAGGCGGATAACACCCTCCTCGATCTCCATAATTCTTCATCAGATACTCAGCCTCATTCATTGATTGTTAATTATAATGAACCCCTATTCAGCGGAATCCTCTATTAAGCGGACGCAGACACTAAAATAAATAAGTTGTATTTGGCTAATTTCTATTGTTAAAAACTTCTATTAAGCTGACATCGGACTGAATTGACAATAGTAGTATTGAATTACATCCTTGAAATACGTACTGTCAGTTAATGTTTTTGCATTTACAAACAAATTAAAGCTAGTAATGAAAGGTAATGAATTTGAACTCTGGATAACTTCTTTAACAACATGCAACTTTATCACAGTACAGAGTAACCGTTGAATGTTGATCGTTAACAAACATTGCGCAATTTTTTACAACCTCTATAAAACGGAACCAACGACTGTTTTTTGTAAAATATCTGTTCGGAGAAGCAAATATTGTCTCGAATTTTCTTTTGCTTGAGGACAGCTAAAAATTTCTCGATGGACGTTCCATTGTTAACGCATTGAACCGTATTTTTAAAAGTAATCTGTCCTTGAATAATTTCAAATGGCTGCTTACAAAAGTGGAGCTTTCGTGCGTTCGAAATATTATACCCCGTTCTAGAAAACGCCTCTGAAATGGATACCCCGTTCTAAATCAGGAGCTTCAAAGTCACGACCCCTTGGGCGGCACATACCCGTATAGGTAATGTATGGGAGTATGAGTCACCCCCCGGGCTAATACACTAGTAAATATGTCTAAGTCTCGAAGAGGAAAAGCCCATCAGCCAATGAATTAAGCAGATGGGAAACAGAATTAATT